TATAATGACAAAATAAAATTAATCTATTTATATAAATTATATTAATTTTCTTAGTCTTTTTCTTAGTTTCTTTTGAATTTATATATTAGTAGTATTGTCATATGTAAAAAATAAATAATATATTTAGTATTTATTAATAAATAAATAAATAACTGTTGTTCATAAATGAAGTAGAAGTCTTTTCAATCTTTGCCCGTAGAGTTTATTTAAAGCAAAATAATATATTTAGTATTTATTAATGAAATTATTTTAAATACATATTTTTATATTTTATATTCATCTATTTTATATTTTATATATAGTCATGGATTACAAATTTTTTTATCTTTATAATAAAACCATTTAAAATAAGTTATGTTGTGATTGATTCTTTGGCCATACAAAATAATATTTATAGTCGTCATTAATACAAAAATTCTTTTAAAAAATAAATTAGTAGCACTACCAATAAGGTATAGTATAGTTATTTTTAAAGTATTTTTTATATTAAAATACATCAAAATATTTTTTTATTTTTTAAAATTTATTTTTAAGATTAATGTATCAAAATAATTTAAAATATATAAAAAATAAATTTATTTTAAAAAAATAAATTTTTTTAACAATACTGTTTGCACCACGTTGTTAAGCAACTTCATAGAATAATGATAAAGGCATATTTTATAATTCTCACTGTCAATGAAATAATTTAAAAAAGGGTCAAAGATTGTTAACAAACGCCTAATCTATCTACCAATATAAAATTAAGATGCATAGAAAAGCAAGAAAATTAAGCAATGATTGAGGTTTATTTAATTGATTAAGAAATTGTTTGTTTTTGCATAGAAACATTATTTTTAAGAAATTTAAATTTTTTATTTTTTATTTAAAATTAATTTTTTAATATTTTTAAATTAATTTAATATAATAATGTTAAAAATAATTTTTTAAAAATAAAAAAGATATTTTAAAAAATAACTCAATATCAGAAAATCGTTGGCTGAGGAGAGGCTACAATTTATTCAACGGGTAAGCAACGAGTATGCGGAGATGAACAGATCTTTCAACCTTAAATGTTTACATTATAAGGATATATATATATATATATATTGCTCCCGAATCTCATCAAAAGATTTTAAAATTGATAGTTCCAAAACAACCAATGACCTCCCAACACGCCGCAAGTGCACGGCCGGTATGATCATACTGGCCGTCATGATACGATAGGCCAAAAGGAGGTCTACTTGACTGTCAATCTTGCGCAAGGCCTCTATCAAAGGTAGTTCTGATATACATATCAGAACTACATTTCGTATGAGCTTTGAAGTCTTTTATGTGTAATGAATTTTTATTTTTTTATTAAATTAAAATATTTGAAACATATAGAATTAATTTTAACTGTGGTAAGATAAAAATTAGAAATATGAAATTGAATTACTTCTTAATATTTAATAGTCTATTAGTATATATGTGCGGGATAGGAGCTCTTCTTTTACAAAGTAATTGCTGAACAATTACAGTAGTTTATTTATGAGTATAATTTCAACTCAAAATCATATATTTCATATCATGTGTTTTGTAATAAAATTCAACTCATCTTTAAAAAATAAAATAACAAATTAAAGTGGAAATTGTATTGCAAATAAAAATTATTTTACATAAAATATTTTACAATTAACTTATTTAGCTCATTTAATAAAAAAATATTTTAAACTATTTTACAAACATTAAATAATTATTTCAATTATTACTGCATAACCACCAATTCATTATCATCCCGATAACTA